CCGCGGTATACCGGTGTGTCAGAAGTGACGTATGATGCTTTCGCCCCCTCTTTCCTTGAAGAGGTAAAAATGGAGGTGAATTATTTTTCCTTCCCTTCATATGTCTCCGTTGATGGGAGAGAAGGGAACCCCGACTCTTTTCTTTGGTTGTACAATAAGGACTAGATCAATGTGTGTTTCTTGGAATGATGTTTCACCAATGGGGGTGTCAATGTCTGGATAAGATTTCCCTAGTCCCAACTCCATTTGTGCCCTTGGATGTTGCTAGCGAGGCAGCGGTAAGAACAACATCGGGGTGGGACGGTATTCTTTGACTCTGCCCATGTCTCCAACGACGCCTACTCGCCCTATTGATAAACTTGGGAGAAAATGTTCATGACTTGGATCAAAAGTTGTCATCTTGGGTGACACATTCAATGCGTGAAGGAAGATGCCAGTTCAATAACATGGAAGGCAATATGAGGACAGCGGATCAGGCGTTCTTCCTCGACAATGTCAGCACCACACGTGGAACCAGGATAAAAGGAAAACTAGGATGATCCTTGATAAGCGCCACAACGACATCGACATTGTTAGTAACAACCACTACCAGAATAAATGACGCTGCCGACGGTGTTAGCTATGCCGATACGCCGACAGCCGGGGAAAAGCCGTAGGCGTACAGAAGCCGTCGGCAAAACTTCGTCTATGCCGACGGGCACCGTCGGCGTAGATTAGCCGCCGGCATCTCCCCTACTATACCTACGGGGACCGTCGGCATATATACGCCGTCGGCACACATATGGGCCCGCCGACCCAGGACCAGATGGGGAGTTGACGCCGTCACCACTATGCCGACGGCCCTGGCGGAGGCCGTCGGCATAGTTAGCACACTTTTTTTTAGTTGTCAGAAAACACGTGTGCTATCTACGCCGACGGCCTGGCCGTCGGCATATCTGTAGTATATATATGCCGACAGCCAAACCGTCAGCATATATGTTTAAATCTAATTTATATAGACTTAAACATACAGAAATTATATGATTTTTATTTCTGTGGTCTATATATGTTTTTATTTCTTATTTTATATTTTTAAAATTTAGACTTGATTAGTTTAAATCTAATTTATATAGACTTAAACATACAGAAATTATATATGGATTTCAGGCAGAATTTTCCCTATATTATGAATATTCGGTTTGTTTTTACTTTTGAGTATGTTAAAATGTAACTTAATGTAATTTTGCATATAGGTCCTTATACTTAGTAAAAATCACAAATTATTCATACTTCCATAGATTTTGACAACTTTTAAATGACTTTTTTATCATAATCTCGCACCGCCTTGTAACAATGCCATCGAAACACCGTACCAGGTCCTGATGCGTGTGTGAATGTGTTGTGACATGTGTAGACGCCCTTCTTGGGCTCCGAGGTGTGCCCCACTCTACGAACGGCAGAGCCGCCGTCACTTGGAGGGGGGAATCGTGCGCATCGGGTAGAACCAGAGGGAATATATTGGTTGGTTGGGTCCAGACCGTGTTCGGGGTTGTTCCTATGGGCTGACCAATCGCAACCAGGTGGAAGAGTACACTGGTCAAAGACCGTCCGGTGAAAGTCAAAGGCTAGATCATCGTGCCAACGCGTAGACCCGACGCGTCCGTTTCCCCCCTCCACGTGTCGGCGGCGGCGCCGTCCGTGAGGGGGGGCACACACCGGAGACGCGTGTCGGGCGTTTGCAACTGCCACAACACTTCCAGACTTGTGAGAGGCCGCCCACGCAAGATTTGGCGGCATGCTATCCCCCGGAGGCCGCCGGCCACAATCGTAGACGCGCGAAGAGCAATCCGCGTAGAGGGAATTTTTCGGAAACTTCTGCATCACCAAAAAATATGAAAAATTACCATCGTTCCTATAGCATATGTGCCCACGTCGTGCAAAAAAACTCATGATTTTATCGCGCTCCGAGTATTTAATAATATTCAAGCCGCATCGTTACCGCAGAACGTCTACTACCGTGTCATCGCCGTCCGTGAGGGGGGCCACACCCCGGAGACGCGTGCCGCCTCTTCGCACATGCCACCACACCACCCCGCATGTATGAGGGCCCGGTGCGATGCTCCGGTGGCATTGCTACCCCCCAGGGGGCCCATCCCGCCTAACCCTGTAGCGTTTAACCACGGGATCTAGCCCTTTGACTTTGCACGGACGGGCTTTGAGCAGTGGACCTCCCCACCCGGTTGTGTTAGGTCAGCCCATAGGAACACTTTGGAGCAACATCCGGGCCAGACCCACAACAATATCCCCTCCGTGTAGACCCGACGCGTCCGTTTCCCCCCTCCAGGTGCCGGCGGCGGCGCCGTCCGTGGGGGGGCACACCCCGGAGACGCGTGCCGGGCGTTTGCAACCGCCACAACACTTCCAGACTTGTGAGAGGCCGCCCACGCAAGATTTGGCGGCATGGTAGCCCCCAGAGGCCGCCGGCCACAGTCGTAGACGCGCGAAGAACAATCCGCGTAGAGGGAATTTTTTGGAAACTTGTGCATCACCAGAAATATGAAAAATTACCATCGTTCCTATAGCACATGTGCCCACGTCGTGCAAAAAAACTCATGATTTTATCGCGCTCCGAGTATTTAATAATATTCACGCCGCATCGTTACCGCAGAACGTCTACTACCGTGTCATCGCCGTCCGTGAGGGGGGCCACACCTCGGAGACGCGTGTCGCCTCTTCGGACATGCCACCACACCATCCCGCATGTATGAGGGCCCGGTGCAACGCTCCGGTGGCATTGCTACCCCAGGGCCCCCGCCCCGCCTAACCCTGTAGCGTTTGACCACGAGATCTAGCCCTTTGACTTTGCACGGACGGGCTTTGAGCAGTGGACCTCCCCACCCGGTTGTGTTAGGTCAGCCCATAGGAACACTTTGGAGCAACATCCGGGCCAGACCCATAGCAATATCCCCTCCCTGCAGACCCGACGCGTCCGTTTCCCCCCTCCAGGTGCCGGCGGCGGCGCCGTCCGTGAGGGGGGCACACCCCGGAGACGCGTGTCGGGCGTTTGCAACCGCCACAACACTTCCAGACTTGTGAGAGGCCGCCTACGCAAGATTTGGCGGCATGCCCGTCCGGTGAAAGTCAAAGTGCTAGATCATCGGGTCAACTGGGCTGCGTGGTGGCCTTCCGGGTGTAGCTATGCCACTGAAACACCATAACGGGTCCTGA